CTTTTTATCTCATAATTATGATTTAGTAGCTATCTCGTAATTTCACACTTTAATGGCATAATTATAACTTTTTATCTCATAATTATGACTTGGTTGATTTAAGGATGTTTAGATGTGCTGAGAACAGCACTTTCTGCAGTGGATGTGCATTAGGCTACAGATGTTAGTCTGAAAACGAGCTACGAGTCTCTCTCACCTCCCACTTGGTCTCCTCCAGTCTGGGATATCGGCCCTACGAGTCTCTCTCACCTCCCACTTGGTCTCCTCCAGTCTGGGCAGGATATCGGCCTGCTCCTTCCTGAAGTCCAAGCACTTCTTCTCCAGCTCCTCTCTCTGAGCGAGCAGCAGCGTCATCTCGTCCTGCAGCCGCCGCTTGTCCTGCTGCAGCCGGGCGAGCTGCGCCTGCAGGGCCTGCTGTGTGCGCTGGGCCCGTCGGGTCACCTGCTGCAGACGCCCGGCGTAGTTCTGCCTCAGCTCCTCCATCTCACACTCCCACACGCGCTGCTTGTCCTCGAACACCTGCACGATAGCCGCCTCGCTCTGGTCCAGGTTACGTCTCATGTGAATCACCTGTGAGGAGGGCAGCACGGCCGAAACACGCGAAACACAGTCTCAAACAATGCAAGCTTGATTTCATGCGTTGTTGCATGCTCACGTCATGTAACTTTGCATAAACTTCTTCTATGTCTAGCTATATGAATAACAGCACATCTGAAGAAAATCGAATAATAATAACCTAATTCATGTACTGTAGAAAGCATGTATGTACCTCAGAATCGTGTGTTTGCATTTGCATACTTGCGTAGAGAATGTTTCTGGCCTTACTGGCGGTTGATGCTACTTCTTGGAACGATAAAAACGGATTAAAACCTTGTTAACCATAAAAATGGTCGTTCTATTTATAATCAAACAACATTTCCACTAAACCAAAGGACCTTTTCAGGTGAAAATGTTCTATTTATGATTAGTGAAACTCGCTGACTTACTTTTGCTCTTTTGAGCAGGTCTGTTATGAATGCAATTCAATAGGCATTAACAATGGTGTAAGCAAAATTATATAAATAAAAATAAATAAATATCCAATG